CTCCTCCTCCTCCTCCTCCTCCTCCTCCTCTTCTTCTTCTTCTTCTTCTTCTTCTTCTTCTTCTTCTTCTTCTTCTTCTTCTTCTTCTTCTTCTTCTTCTTCTTCTTCTTCTTCTTCTTCTTCTAGCAGTCAATACCTGTATAGTAAGATAAAAGTCCTGCTTTTTGCAATGGAGGTGCCCCTCTTGAGTGCTCTTCTAAGCTGTCTTGCCCCGTGGAAGGTTAAATGCCCTCTAAGCTGGTTTTTCCTAGGAACTGACGGCCCCGTCCCTGGAAAGGAAGGGCTAGAAACAGGCTCGGAGCCTCCCCCTTTGACGCCTGGCATCCAGATTAATTTAATTCACTTTGATTGAACTGCTCCCTTAAAAATGTAAATGCCCCCCCCCCCAACAAAAAAAATCCTGGCTGTGGGCGAAACTATAGTTAGTCCATCAAAGTCAGTCTTGCCTACTCAGACCGGCAGCCGCTCTGCAGGGTCTCAGGCAGAGAGAGGTCTTTCACGTCACCTCCTGCCTGATCTTTTAGTTGGAGATGCCGCCGGGGATTGAGCCTGGGACCTTCTGCATGCCGAGCAGGTCCTCTCCCACTGAGCCACGGCCCCCGCCCTTCACTGAACCACAGTCCAACCTACCCCACAGGGCTGTTGCGGAGGTAAAATTGGAGGGGGAGGCATAGAAGACTCCCCAAGCTCCTTAGAAGAAGGGTGCAACAAAATTTCTGGGCAGACAGACAGAGCCAGGGCACTAGGGGGGAAAAGAGAGAACGCCCATGAGCACACACGGAACGGCCTTCTGCTGAATCAGTTAATCAAGATCAGTGTTGTCTACTCAGGGTCTCAGGCAGAAAAGGGTCTTCCCCATCACCTCCTGCCTGGTCCTTTTCCCTGGAGACGCTGGGGATTGAACCTGGGACCTTCCGCATGCCAAGCGGAGGCTCGACCACTGAGCCACGACAAATCCATATTTCAGGGGGTGCTAAAATGGGTGGGTGGGTGAGCTGAAGCCCATCTGAGATGCAGGAGGACGATCAGGGGTCTGGAGACTGAGCCCTACGAGGAAAGGCTGAGGGCCTTGGGAATGTTTAGTTTGGGGAAGAGGAGATGGGGGGGGGACATGACTGCTCTCTTTAAATATTTGAAAGGCTGTCATTTAGAATCATAGAATGCTAGAGTTGGAAGGGACCTTGCAGGTCATCTAGTCCAACCCCCTGCACTCTGCAGTAGCATAGCCGAAAGAGAGCCCTACAACAGACCCGAAAGATGGCCGTCCAGCCTCCGCTTGAAAACTTCCAGCGAAGGAGCATCCACCACCTCCCGAGGCAGTCTGTTCCACTGCTCAACCACTCTTACAGCTAGGAAGTTTCTCCTGAGATTTAGCCAGTAACGACTCCCTTATTGTGAGAAAGGGAGAAAAATACCTCTTTTTCGACCTGCTCTATCCCATGTATAATCTTATAAACCTCAATCATGTCTCCCCTCAGTTGTCATTTCTCCAAGCTAAAGAGCCCTAAGCGCCTTAACCTTTCCTCATAGAGAAAGGGTTCCGACCCCTTTATCATTTGAGTTGCCCTTTCCTGCACTTTTCCCAAAGCTATAATATCCTTTTTAAGGTGTGGTGACCAGAACTGCACACAGTATTCCAAATGAGGTCGCACCATTGATTTATATAGGGGCATTATGATATTGGCTGATCTGTTTTCAATACCCTTCCTAATAATCCCCAGCATAGCATTGGCCTTTTTTTATTGCAGTCACACACAATAAATAAATAAGTTGTTCAGGGTTGTGCAGGGAGAAGCCAGCCTGGTACCCAGACGCAGTCCTGACGAATGTATCTCTGCGCATGCAGGTGCTGAATGGGGGAACCTCGCGGAAACCAGAGCTTTGCCCCTCCCACTTTCCTCCTCACCGGCATCCCAGGATTGGAGGCCACCAGCCTCTGGCTCTCCGTCCCCTTCTGCCTCTTGTACGCGGTGGCCCTCGTGGGAAACAGCGCCGTCGTCCTCGTGGTCGTGAAGGACCGGAGCCTGCACAAGCCCATGTACTTCTTCCTCTCCATGCTGGCCATCAGCGAGCTGGGCGTGTCCCTCTCCACCCTCCCGACCGTGCTGAACGTCTTCCTCTTCTACGCCAGGGAGATCGGGAGGGACGCCTGCTTCGCCCAGATGTTCTTCATCCACTGCTTCTCCATCATGGACTCGGGAGTCCTCTGGGCCATGGCTCTGGACCGCTTTGTCGCCATCTACAACCCCCTCCAGTACGCCGCCATCCTAACCCACTCCCGGATCGTCCTGATAGGCCTGGGGATTGCCGTGAGGAGCGTCCTCCTCCTCCTCCCTCTGCCCGTCCTCTTGAGACGGCTGCCCTTCTGCCGGTCCAAGGTGCTGGCTCACCCCTACTGTCTGCACCCCAATTTAATCCGGCTCCCCTGCGCCGACACCAGGGTCAACAGCGTCTACGGACTCTTTGTCTTGCTGTCCACTTTTGGGCTTGACGCCTTGTTCATCATCCTCTCCTACACAATGATCGTCAAGACGGTGCTGAGCATTGCCTCCAAGGAAGGGCGGCTCAGGGCTCTCAACACCTGCGTCTCCCACATCTGCGCCGTCGTGGTCTATTACACCCCAATGATGGGCGTGTCGATGGTGTACCGGTTTGGGAGGCACGCTTCTCCCGTGCTGCACGCCCTCATGGCCCACCTCTACCTCCTGGTGCCTCCCGTCCTGAACCCCATCATCTACAGCATCAAGACCAAGGAGATCTTCAAGGCCTTTGAAAGGCTCTTCTTTCCAAAGAAGTTCTGACGTGGAAGGAGTGGAAGGAGGGCAGGATACCTTCCTTGCCCTTCAAGCAATGGCTGCAAGCTGCTGGGCGCGGAGACTCACCATATGATAAGTTATCTCCAAAGCAAAATGAGAGCTAATGATGACAGGTAAAGGTTTCCCCTTGCTCGAAAGCCAGTCGAATCCGACTCTAGGGATGCGGTGCTCGTCTCCTTTCCCAAGCCGAAGAGCCAGCCAGGGCCGGCTCGAGGTGTTTCTGCGCCCGAGGTGAGGCTGCCTTATGGTGCAGATGCCAACCTCCCGGTGGGGCCTGGAGCCCTGGAGCTCTCTGGAGTCAGCCACCCTTTTGCTGCTGCCACCACTGCCTCTCCCCCACCACCAAGGGTGGGGAGGAGGGGGGAGGCACAGCTTGGCACCCCATCCAGGGCCCGGCGCTCTAGGCGAATGCCTAGTTCACCTAGTGGGTAAGCCGGCCCTGGAGCCAGCGCTGTCCAAAGACACCTCCATGTTCATGTGGCCGGCATGACTAAATGCCGAGGTGCATGGAACGCTGTTCCCTTCCCACCAAAGTGGTGCCTACTTGCAATTTCTTGCTTTCGAACTGCTAGGTTGGCAGGAGCTGGGGCCAGAGACGGGAGCTCACTCTGTCATGCGGCACACTCAGGTCTGCAGTTCAGCGTCTTAACCATGTGAGCCACCACAGCCCTGATGATAATGTTAATTGCAGCTAAATGTCTTACAGCATCTCATTGGAAGTCTGCATCAATTCCATCGCTGCAAAAGTGGCACTTGAAGTTATGCGATTTATTCATCCTGGATAAAATTTGGATAAATTTAGAGACACCTCAGGCCAATCCAGTCTCCTAGAGAAATGGCAACTTCTAATGCTCAGGTGCTGGTCTGAGCTCTCAAACGATTGCTTTGTTTTAAGTAAAAGCCACCGGTCTCTTCTCTGCTCACACTGAATGGGTTGTATCTAGTCCTTAGTCTAACACACTGTTCCACTGCTGGTGTAGATCTGTGTTGTTCAACAAACCTCTCAGCCCTGCATTTGAATTTCTAGTTTACTGTATTTAGTTGTTCAAACTCAGTTTTACTGATTATTTGTAACCTTATTATAGTGTTCAATATTTCAATTCTGTATACTTGAATGCTTGTACTCAGTTCTATTGAAAGATTGTAATGTTATATGATTAAATAAAAATATTTAATTAAAAAAACCCATGATAAATCATATCAATAGGATGAGTTTATCCACATGCTGCGGCCCGAGGAGGGATGTTTTGCCACCAGAAAGCCGTTTGTGATTCCTCCTTTACATCCCCATGGCAACCACAATACACAACACAACTTATTAAGAAAACATGTGGCTTGTTGAGTAGTTATAGAGAAGAGGAACAAATCTACTCCAGATTTAGAAGAAACCAATTAAATTCTGCTTCTCGGATTTGGATGTAGGCAGGACTTTTTTTTTTTCTGGGGGACCATGCTGGAACACAGTTCCGGAACCTCTTTGACAAAATTCTTTCTAAAAGGCTTAAAAGTTCATGTGTTTTCTGTATACAGATTGAAAACTTCATTTCCCTCTTGAGAGTTTCGGCACCTCTTTTTTCCAGAAAAAGTGCCCAGAATGTAGATAAGAGGTGTATTGTGTAGTGGGTTGACCACGTGGCTAGGCCCCACTCAGCTCCCATAACATGGTGCACGCTTGACTCTTACACAACAAAGACAAAGACAAACGGCCAGGAGGCCAACTATATACATATCCAGGGGACACCCCTGGATCCCATTGGGAGGTTCGAACTTCCCTCCCCATTTCTATTGGCTCCCCGTTGGAGAGACCAAGATACCAGTTCCCATTGTCCACCCGGGGTCAAGCCCTGGGTACTCGCTGGCCCCTGGTGGCGGCCAGCGGACACAACAAGGTGTAATGAAATCTGACTTTTTGTTTTCTCTTATAATGTTTAAATTATTCTTAAAAAGTAGTTTAAATATAGTTTAAAAGAATTCATTGTGAGATTTTTTACAAGGTTATGGAAATTGTCTTCCTAAAAACAGTTTACGCAATAGTCAAATGTAGACTTGCTCACAACTTTAATGCTACTAGCTTTTTTTCGCTCGTAACGTGGAATTTCTGCTCACAACACTGTGAGGAAACACAACATTAGAGGGAACATCTCACGTGCCCGGGCATCAGGTTGGGGACCCTGGGGAAAAGCTGCACAGGGCATGAATTCCCTCCTCCTCCAGGGCATCTGTTGCACACAGTTTCTGACTGCAAAAAGGGCTATTCTGTCCTATCAAAGGAAGAGATGACCTCTTCTGCCTTTTGTCTTTCAGCTGTGCTGGCTGACAGGGCTGCGTGGACCCTGCTGGGTAGTGGATGATCCTCAAGCTAGGCCACCAGTGGTTATTAGCCACAAGGTACAGATGGAACCCTGCATCTGGAGTGGTGATACTCTGTCTTCTTGGTGCTTGGGGGGGGTCCACAGTGGGAGGGCTTCAAGAGTTCTGGCCCCACTGCTGGTGGACCTCCTGATGGCCCCTGGGTTTTGGCCACTGTGTGACACAGTGTTGGACTGGATGGGCCACTGGCCTGATCTTACGTGGGTTCTCTTATGTTCTTATGTTTGGGGCAGTGATGCTCTGTATTCCTGGTGCTTGGGGGGGCAAGAGTGGGAGGGCTTCTGGAGTTCTGGCCCCACTGGTGGACCTCCTGATGGCCCCAGGTTTTTCTGACCACTGTGTGACACAGGGTGTGGGACTGGATGGGCCATTGGCCTGATCCAACATGGCTTCTCTTGTGTTCTTATGTCTGTGGGTGTGATGCTCTGTATTCTTGGTGCTGGGGGGGGGGCAAGAGTGGGAGGGCTTCTAGAGTTCTGGCCCCACTACTGGACCTTCTGATGGCCCCTGAGTTTTGGCCACTGTGTGACAGAGTGTTGGAGTGGATGGGCCACTGGCCTGATCCAACATGGCTTCTCTTATTTTCTTATGTCTGGGACAGTGATGCTCTGTATTCCTGGTGCTTGGGGGGGCAAGAGTGGGAGGGCTTCTGGAGTTCTGGTTCTGTTGGTGGACCTCCTGATGGCCCCTGGGTTTTGGCCACTGTGTGACACAGCGTGTGGGACTGGATGGGCCATTGGCCTGATCCAGGGATTTTTTTGTAGAAAAAGCCCAGCAGGAACTCATTAGCATAATAGGACACACCCAACAGCAGGAACTCATCAGCATATTAGGCCACACCCCTGACACCACAGCTCATTAGCATATTAGGCCACACCCCATGCCTTCCCTTGGCTTGCCCAGGTGCCCCGTGGCTGCGGGGAGCCCAGACAAGCTGACCCTTGGACAGGCCGGGGAAGGCACAGGGGGGCATATAAATGCCTCCCTGATACTTCCAGCCCCCCCCCGGCCTGCCCACTTCAGAGTCGCCGGGGTGTGTGTGTCGTTCTCCAGGCCTTCCCTCTATAGCCACGCATGCAGAGGTTTTGGCTGTAGTGGGTGTGGCCAACTCTGAAGCCAGCTGGAACGACGTTCCTGTGCGTTCCTGCCCCAAAATACCCCTGGATCCAACATGGCTTCTCTTGTGTTCTTATGGATATGGCTCATCATGCCTACCTGTCCACAGATGCAGCCGTGCACGTCAGAAGGCGGCTGTTGCAAGAGAGACCACTGAAGTACTTGCAGATGCCTGGCAGGAAGGAGCCCGTGAGAGCGTACCCTTGCTCAGGACGCTGCTGGTGGAAAGGCCTGCCTTGTTTAGGGGTGGGGGCGTGGCACAGGGGTAGGACATCTGCTTGGCGTGCAGGAGGTCCCAGGCTCAATCCCCGGCGCCATCACCAGCTGAAAGGACCAGGGCAGGAGGGGATGTGAAAGACTTCCTCTGCCTGAGACCTTGAGGAGCTGCTGCCAGTCTGAAGTGACAATACTGGCTTTGGACCAAGGGTCTGATTCAGTATAAGGTGACTTCCTGTGTTGGGGAGGGGCCGTGCCTCAGTGGCAGAGCCTCTGCTTGGCACGCAGGAGGTCCCAGGTTCAATCCCCGGCGGCATCTCCAGTTAAAAGGACCAGGGCAGGAGGGGATGGGGAAGACTTCCTCTGCCTGAGACCCTGGAGAGCGGCTGCCAGTCAGAGTAGAGGATACCGATCTGGATGGACTAAGGGGAGGGTCTGACTCAGTAGAAGGCCGCTTCGTGTCTTTTGGTGTCCCTTGGGATGCCTGCAGGACCCCCTCCTTGCTCAACTTGTGAAAAGTACGCAAACGGAGAGTGATTTCAGCAAAGCGTACTTTATTCTATCCGGAACAAGACGACTTTGGCCGGCTCGCAGGCCGGCTTATATTCCCCGAGAAACCGCCACCCAAAACACACACCCCCACTTCCCCATAGGTTATTTACAGTGGCCGAGAGTCCCATTGGCTCTTGGCCAGGAACCTAGCCCCCTGATTGGAGCGGGCTAGGATCCGCATAGTCCATTGTCTCTTGGAGCGAAGCTCGACGTTTGTCTCTGACCGCGTGGAGCCTGAGCCAGCCACGCGATCTGGACTGGATACATTACAACTTCCTTCTGCCATTGTGAATAAAATAAGTGGTTATGACCAAAGCACCCTCGCTATTTCCTTGTCTCTTCCCGCAAGGGATCTGACCCAGCAACACCACCCGTGTTTACTAGGGTTCCCGACTCTGGACTGGAACAGCTACGTTTGACTCTAGTAGCACTTTAGAGGCTAACAAGATTTTTTTGGGGGGTGGGTGGGTTATGAAACTTTGAGAGGCAAAGCTCCCTTAATCAAATACCCTCCCAAAGAAGGTGCTACTAGATTCGAATCTTGCTGCTGTACCACTGACCAACATGGCTGACACTTCTGAAACTGGGTTGGGAAATTCCCGGAGATTCAGGGATGGTTTGAGGAGGGGCGGGAGTTCAGTGGGGCACAAGGCCACAGAGTCCACCCTCCAAAGCGGCCATTTTCTCCAAGGGGGACTGATCTCTGTCGGCAGGAGATCAAGTGCCATTCT